TCCCTCCTCATCCCTGGCACTTGATCTAGATAGTCACCAATGGCTAAGTAAAATGCACAGCCTGAAATGCCATGGTGGCAGAGGTCACTGCCACTGGTCCTCATTCCCAGTTTGCAGGCTTATGTGCATTGAGGCCGCAGAGCATAAGGTCACACTTTAGTTGAACAATGCTGCTGGCCCAGCCCTATTTTTTTCTGTATGCTTGAGTTGCTGTAATTCTTTTCTGTTGGGAAAAATAAGTGCTGCAGGTGAGAACAAGACAGAGAACAGAAATAAAGGGATAAACAGTAATTTTCATATTAGCAAACTGGAGAATAATGTTTGCATTACATATTACTATATATTTCTTTCAAGGTTTTTTGCAAGTCAATAGGAAATAGATTGCATAGAAATACTTAGTGGCTGGAGAGTGCAAAATGTCCCCGCAGTGCCTCTCCCTCTCAAAACAGTTAAGTCCCATCTTTAGGGGACAGAATGTAATTTACCTTCAGGTGCAGGTCAGTCTCTTCAGTGCAGTATTTGCACAAAAAATGTAGCAGCCAAGACAGTTGATCAGAGGAAAGTATATCCCCAAAAGTTAGATAAAACAACTTCCTATTTTTAGGCAGAGCCTAGAAGTATAGAATTTGGTTTATTTAAATTTCAGCATGTGGGACTTTACAATATTCAGGTTTGGACAAAGTAGAGGCCATGAAACGAATGTAGTAGAAGAAAATAGTTTGATCTTTACTCAATAACGGAATAAATAATGATATGATTAACTACGGCATGAAAGTAATCTTCATACATGAAGCTTAATATGGTCTGTGATTTAAATTAGTCTGTAATGTTAATGAAACAGCTTTACTGCTTACACCTCTCTGCTTTCAACCCTGCATATCTTAATTCATGTGTAGCATAAACTGGGTTTACCTGTACTTTCAATGAATTAAAAGTTCTAAGAGTTTTAAGAGGAACAATTTAAATATTACCCCTCTGTGAATCATTAAAAGTTACTGAATTTCTTAGTGCATTTTGGGCACAATCTAATCAAAGTTAAGGTCTCATGTCCCATTTATTTCAGCAAGAGAGACTGAAATATGCATTTAACATTTTCACTAAAATCCTTTGGACTTTGAAGTTTAGAACTTTGCTAAATTGCATCTTTTGTTTCTGAACAATGCATGCCTGTGTCTGTTTATGTAAGAGAAAAACCTATTGAGTTCTGTGGGGCTTGCTCCCAGGTAATATTTGACAAAGCTGTAAAAAATAAGCATATGTATTACTGCTAATGAAACTGAAACTAATGAAATGTACAAACATAGATTCCATGTGCCAGATTATTATTCATACACAGAGTCCAAGTTTTAATTGCTCCTTTCTTTCTTATAGGGCCTCTTAAACCAGTTGGATTGCCTTTGCTGGGTGGATTTGCAAGCAGAGCTGTTGAATATTCCATGATCCCATTTCACTTGCCTCTTCATGGAAGCTCCTAAGTCTAACAGCAAAATCCATGAATTGTCAAGATAGTCCTGTCACATAGTCCCTAATAAGCATGCAATACTGTGAATTATTGTAAAAACTGAGCAAGTTATTGCTGTAATAAGAAACTGCTTCAAAGAGCTAGACACTAAATTCTTTTCTGGGTGTTGTATTTAATCAAGTTGTTGGGGTTGCTTGAAAGCAATGTGTTTCACCTGGCCTAGAAATGTAAAGGCACAGTCTGCTGGGAAACGTCCCTGGAAGATTGTGCCCATTCTGATTACAAAAAGCATCTTATGACTGACTTCTGAACATGCATGCCAAAGTCTCTTAAGAATGGTTAGCCATTCAGTTTTGATGCCCAGAAGTTGCATGCTTGACAAAATGGCTTCCAGAGGTTTTTTCTCCATATATATAGTAAAATAGAGTTGTCTGTTTTTATGTGACATGTTGCATGCATCTTAAAATATGGGTCTTAAGATGCATGTCTTTTTTTAAAAGAACAATGGAAACAACCTTGCAGAAGATACCTGATATAGCCGCTTCAAAAACTTCTCTCTGGTGTAATTGCGATTGCTATAATGAGCCCGATCTGTTATGTGTACTTCGTGTTAACATGAGCTTTTTGTCTGCAGAGCTTCCTTAAAATTACCCCTTTTATGGGCAATTGATTGACAAGTTGTTTGACTATAAGGGTTCTTTACTGGATACCCTGGACTTCTGCACTGTTACCTCACCTGAGACAAGCTTACAGGAATGTAATCATGGAAACTATGGGCTTAACTCGCAACCAGGTGGCGGACACTGGCATTCCTAGTTAATGAATGGCGAAGAATGAAAATGAGGGTCACCAGAATGGCCTGAGCCTTGTTTGCCAGTGTTGGAAGTGCTTTCTTCAACCTAGGTTCCGGTCCAGGCAGTTCAACTGGTTCAGCTCAAGTGAGCCTGATGATGGGTGCACATCTGTATTGGTAGGATTGGACCAAGACTGCTGCCTGAACCAAAGAAGACAAAGCAGCCCTTCTTCCCATTCCATGTATCAAAGCTGACTGGACTGGCAGCTGCATCTTACTTACTGGAGGCAGAACAGCATCCTCTGCTTCACCCAAGGCCAGCAGAGCTTAAGGCAGCCCAGGACAGGATGTTTGGCTCGCACAGCTCTGACCTCCAGCACCGCACTGTTGTCTCCACCTGCGCCACCTGTTGCCTGCAACAGCCGCCTTACTCTGCTTAACATAAGGCTGCTCCTGTTGGGGTATTTTAGTTCTCCCTTGTCAGTCCAGGGCAGTAGTCTGCAAAGTATGAGGAGTAATTGAGTGCAGAGGGAACTTGTTCACTATCAGTTGGGGCTGTTACCCCAGTTATGAGCTATAAGCCGCTTGAATATATAGCTTGAGTTTCTAGGTGGGAATCCAGTAATAAATCTACCTCTGCACCCATTTACCAATTATATATTGTATTCATCTTAGTTAAGTGGGACACTTTTTTGGTGGACCGTGCAAGTCTCCAAGATGTCAACTCTGGAAAAAGTTCTTTAGGCTGAAGGGAAAGAGGACATAATTTTTATGGAGGCTGAAATATTTCACTCTCTTTTCCTCCCTTGAGCCAGACCTGCCAGGCTTTCATTAAATGGCAAAGACAATCATGTATAGCTTGGTTCATGGTATAGTCTGTAGCTCTGCTCCTCCTCCTCAGCCTGAGCTCTCTGTATGGAAGTATCGAGAACAGTGTAGCAAGGAGACATTTATGCACATGTATATATTACTTGGATGATGTTGCTTTAGTACTTGAGCTATCGTTTAGTTTTGCTTGATAAACTGATTTTTTAATGTTCGTGGCCAATCCTACAGTGTATAATCATAGTAGGTATTTCTCAAAGAATTCTATCTCTGTAAGGTCACCTACTCATTTTTTCAAATTATATTTTAAATAAATGTATAAAATGCCAGAATGTTTAAACTTTTGTAATGATTCAATGCCAGTTAAAAGAGATGGATTGTTGCAGAACTACACTTGGCAAAATAACTGTAGGGTAAATCCATTGCAGACTACATTCTGCAGTATCTGTTCCAGCAGAGCTATGTAATGCACTGTAAGGTATAATTCTGTCCACTATAGTGAAAAAAGGCACTTATAGACCTTCTGAAATTACCAGTTTCTGTGTGTGGTTATCCTGGGGTTTCTATGCATGCACCTTGGTTTATTAATCCACAGAACAGTTAATACTGATTGTACTCTATTACTGAGCCAGTCAGTGATTGGCAAGAGGAGAGGAGTTGCCTATTCATTTTTCCTTAAAAAAGGCAGATGTAGGATCCCATAAACAGTAGGCAGATATCCCTGAACATAGGTCCTGCTGTGCATGGTGACTGAGGCAGGGAATTTTAGTATCTCCTTGGCAATCTTTGTGCAGTGGGGTATATAGCCCATAGCAATCTGCATGTAACTTACTATCAGAACATCATTTTTAAAAGTAGAATAAGATCCTGCTAGGATCCATTCTTGCAAACTAGCAGAAGTATCTTTGCATATTCCAAGGTCAGGAAACTAGAAAAATGTAGAGTGAATCTAAGCAGCCAACCATGCATTAGGCATCTAAAGGAGTGGCAGGGCCGCCTGGACTGACTGCTTAACACACTGTATCTGTATTTTGTAATCAGGCAGGCTGTGCCACAGCAGCTACTGGATTGCCACGAAGAGTAATCTTTACAAGACAGCAGGCAGTTACTAAACATAGCTCTTCGCTATAGCCACATTTTGAACACAATCCAAAAGGCCACTATTTTTTAAGCATGATTTTGATTGCAGATCACCCAGTGGTTCTTAGCCTCTGTCCAAATAGCATAAACATATTCATCAGGACATCAAGGGCTACCTACGTTTACTCCAACACAGCCTGTATACTGTTTTCAGTGGACCTTTGTTAAAAATACCCATGCTTTTTACCTGTGGTAGCTAATATGCTGGACTTTTATTAGAATAACACTCTCAGTTCTGCTGCAGTAGCTTTATCACCACTCCCACACCCAATCCAGCTGCAGTTACAAGGAATTCATGGTGCATGTCAGCTAGCGGCCCGACCTAAGGATACATATCCATACTGCAATGGTTGGTCTCACCTGCAGCACTATTTTCCCCCCATAGTAAAGAACTATAGCAACTCAGGCATACATTTACCCTCTAGACAAATGATGCCCTTATATCTGCTACTGGATAGTGTTTGTAATAAACAGATGCTGTTTGCCTTGTCCATCAAACAACATTACTTGAATAGTCCCTCTTCTGAGTTCTGTTTCTTGGTCATGCTAGGATTTAAAAACATAGCTTTTAGGTAACTGTCACCGATTAAGGTCTCTCTTCAGAATGAGTCAAAAAGCACTAGGAACGTGTACTAGCAGAAGTCAGGCAGAGATGGATTATAAATTACATTTGAGCATACCAGGTAAACTTCCAAGCCCCTTCCCTACATTCACTGTCTTGAATTCCAGTTGTGCTTTGGTTTCTGCAACCCTTCCAATATTCTTATTTAAGTAAGCACAGTACAACAGCCCTTTGCACAAAAGTTTTTCAACAATCAACTTTTCAAGAGCTGAACTCTCAAACCATTAGTTGTTATTGCTTAGATCAGTTGCAAGATTTGTTACAAGCTACTGCCACTAGTGAAACAACATGGTGCAAGTAGACATGGTGCAAGCACTAAAGAATAAAAATAAAATACATTGTCAAGATCTATGGTTAAACCAAAATATTCCGTGTTACATACTGATCCTTTAGCTAGTTAACAGGTTGAAGCCCAAGACTGTTAGTGGAAGCAAGCCTGTGTAAAGGAACCTTCCCATTTAGTCCTGCCCCATTCATAAAATTGCCCTGTTTTTAAAGCATGGACTGTGGTACAAGTGGGAATAGGCTGAAGTTTTAGTGATCTGCTGTTACAAAGTGCCCCCGCCCCACTATTTTTCAGGAGCAGATCAGGGGAAGGAAGGGACAATAAATTCTATTCTGTGAGCTTCCACCCACTTAGAATTCTCCAGATCTAACAGAATGTACTGTAGGATGCCCCTAGTCTCTCTGATTACCTTGTGCCTCTATAAAGCCCATATTCCAACTTTTCCCATTTTGAAAAGAATTAAATATATGCTGAAAACCACTGCAACCTCAGCTTTAAAAGAAGGAAAAAGGCCAACAACTGATCCATTTTATCTCTGATTGGCAAGTTGTCACAGTTGCAACCAAGTGGGATCTCTATAGGCTGCTGTTGCTAGGTCGAATAGGACTGCATTCCAAAAAGAGCTGCACTTGGATAAGCCAATGAAAATGTTCATTTTTGATAATGCAATAAAAGTGAGATTAATGTATCTATTTTAGATCATTTTTATTGTTTTAAATCAGCTCCTGGCCTCCCCATAACCAGATTCTACAAATGAAAGTTTCTGAGAACTGGAACTTATTTGACACAGAAGATAAGCAGCCAATCTTTAAAATGATGTGCCTTAAATCTACCCATGAAGTAGAAGCTAAGTTTCATAACACCGTAACTGGTCAGCTGTATAGTTTTTAACCAAAAGCTCAAAAATGAAGAGAACAAGTAGTTTGCAGCTCTTCTTGCACTATTGTTTTGTACATTGTGTGCAATTTTCTGAATAAGCATTTTAGCATAAAATGACATCCTGGGGTTGTAGCTTCACAGAAAACTATGAACATAAATCATTGTACCTCTTTGCATGTACATACAAGACTTCAGTATAGGTCATTCAAGAATCAGATACTGTCTTTTTAACAGTATGTTGTAATTTTTCTATCCTTTTGTTGCTAATTATATATTCTTTCTGGTTTTATTTTGTGCACAGATGTTAATATATTTATGTAATGTGATGTGTAAAAGTTATTCATAAATTCAATAGTTTACCTTGGTGCAACGCTGTATAAAATGCAAAGGGTTTTTAAAATCTTACAGATTATAATTATGAGAACATATGGTATGCTTTTTAAAACATAATTTCCATTTATTCTATGAAATGTCTGTCAATTTTTTAAAAAAATCTAAAAGGCCATTGATTGTAAGGGTAACAAACTCTTTAAAGAGTCATTTAACAAGCCTTCACTTTATCAACATTTTTACCAAGTGTTTGGTGGTGGGGATGACACTTTGTAGGAAGTTATATCAAACTCAGAATAAAAGGTTGTAAACTACCAATTTACTTCTGTTGTTTTTACATGGAGAAGGTTTCCATAACTGTTTTAACAGGTCACTTGGGGATTATAGCACAATAAAATTGATGGACAGACAGATTTCAGTTCAAAACCCATAGCTGACTTTTCCTTGTCTTGTGTTTCTTAATATACAGAGCATTCCATATACAACTGCTAAAATTAACAATACATAGAGCTCATGAATCAGTCTGTGACTTAAATTTCAAACCAGCCTTTTATCAGTCATGTCTGCGAATAAATTCCAGCAAAACTGAATGCTGTTACGGTGCAACCCAATGCCCTGTGCACATAAATCTTTGAACTCTGCAACTTATGTGCATCCTATATATAGAAAGAAGAGGGGCACCAGTGGTCTGTGCTGCAGTTGCACCTCAAACAAGGGCCAGGTAGGGAGCCTGTGATGGCAAGAAGAACCTTACTGCCCCCACCCCAGCATGCTTTTTTTACCATCTCCAAGGCCCAGTTATAACAGTGGGGCAGATGGCAGTCAGCAGAAATTTTGGCAGCACAGGCTGGGGGAGTGGCCGGAGAGCTTGGGAAGGCAAGGTAGGAGCTTGGGCTAAGGATCGGGGGTTGTGGGGGCTGGAAGAGTACAGAGGACGGAAGGCTAGGTTAGAGAGGCCAGAGAAGCCCAGGGGCATGGCAGAAGCAGTGGCCTCTGAGGCTTGTAAAGCCACATTCAGCCGTTGACAGCGTCATCCCTTGGTGGTGGCCCTTAGTTGTGTCCTGGGTTGCCCAGGGACTCTCTTCCCCAGGGACTTTGTCTTCCGTGAGGGAGCGGTTCTTAGCCCCAAGCAAGGGCAGCATAGTGCAGGCAAGACAAGGGTGCAGAGGGCTAAGGCTCTCTAAGGGGTGGCCTGTGCCAGTCCAGGTTGCCTGCAGCTCCAGTGGCATGTATGTCTTCCTCCCCAAGGAGGTGCCAGGATACACTTGTACTAAGTGCAAGCTCGTGTCTGAGCAGGAGTGGGTCCTAGCTCTCCTTGAGGAAAAGATAAAGTGTCTGGAGGATGCCATTGCCCACCCCATCCAAGGGATAAGGGACGGGGTACAGTTCCTGAACATTGCCCAGGAGGTCCTCCAATGACAGCCCTTTTCCAGACAGGACAAAGGGAAAGGGGCCACTAGAGAATTGGCTGACAAAATGTGGAGGCATGTCACCCTAACGAGGTCGAGTCCAGCACCACATCCTCCATCTCCTGGTGTGGGAGTGGAGCTGAGAAATAGGTTTTGCTTGAAATAGGTGTGGGAGTGGAGCTGAGAAATAGGTTCTGCTTGAAAAGACTGGGGCCACAGGTCCCCTGGGGGACTGGTCTGCTCAGGAAGCCTGGCCTGAGGCCAGACACTGCTGGGGGCTGCTGTCAGAGGGAACACGTCAGGTTCCTTGACCATGGCAACTGGTTCCTCACCAATGGTCTTCTGGCGAGGTACAGGGTGCACCTCACCAGGAGGGAAAGCAGCTTTTGGGAATGCTCTAGCGGGCTTCATCCAGAAAGCTTTAAACTGATGCGGGTGGAGGGGGACAGGGCCCTCAGAAACCAATCATGATCGGATTGGTGAAGGAACAGGATTAGGGTCTCGGGTACGGTGATGTAGGGACTGCAGGGGCTGGCATAACTAGAAGGTTCCTGCTGTGCCAGGGAGGCTAGGAGGAAGGAGGCCAGGAAAGGGGTTTGCAGGAAAGTGCTGCGATGTATGTATACCAATGCTAGGAGCATGGGAAACAAGCAGAAAGAGCGTGAGGCTCTCCTGGGAAGAGGCGGGTACAACCTGGTGGGATTAATAGCAGGATTGGAATGATAACATAGAATGGTATGCTCTTTTTAGGAAGGACAGAATGGGAAAGGGGTGTATGTAGTGCTGTATGTTCAGGAAGCAATAGGGTGCAATGAGATAGGAAGTGGGTAGAAGGGTATCAGGTAGAGATTGACTGGTCTGGAGGTGGCCAAGGATCTGATAGTGGGTTTATCTTATCACCCATTGGGTCAACCTGAGACCCTGGACAATGCTCTGATTGGAGCATTGGGATTGGAAAGGTATCCCAGGGGAGAGACTGGGTCATAATGGGAGACTTTAACTTTCCTGATAATAGTTGGGAGATGCACTCAGTGGCAGCTGCTAGGTCCCATCACTTCCTAGAAGCTCTGGAGGAAGGGTTTTTCATCCAGAGGGTCTGAGAGGCAACAAGAGGGAGATATATCCTAGACTTGGTTCTAATCAACAGGGAGGATCTGGTGGATGAAGTGCCGACTAGGGGAGCTCTGGATGTGAGTGACCACTCTATCCTATGCTTTGAGATCAGGGGAGCAAGGATGAGTGGTAGGTCAAGTACAAGAAGTTGGGACTTCTTGAGGGCCAACTTCTGGCAGTTGAAGGCCAGGCTGGGGGAAGTTTCCTGGGAGAGGGTACGGGAAGGCAAGGGAGGTCAGAAGAGGTGGATGGCTCTAAAAAGGGAGGTCTTGGAGGTGCAAACCTTAATAATACCACTGATTAGCAAAGCAGGGAAGTGTAGACGAGCGCCACCGTGGATGCGAAGAAAGAGGTGGTAAAAAGGATTAAGACGGGAGAGGGACCTTCACAAGAAATGGACACTGGGGAAAGAGGACAAAGGGATTAACAAGAGAAGGCTTCTTCACAAGGTTAAGGCTGATTATGAGCTGAGACTTGCAAAGAATGTCAAGACTAACAAAAAGGGCTTCTATCAGCATATAAATAGCAAAAGCAAGGGGACAGGTGGTGGGAACATTTAAAAGGGAGTGAGGGGATCTGGTTACTGATGTAAAGGAACTGACACTGATGTTAAATGATTATTTTGCTTCTGTGTTCTCCCCAAAGAGGGTTGGGGGAGTTCTATCTGGGGGGATAGATGAGGTTGGGGTTACAGGGACAGATTGGAGTAACCTCACTAGAAGCCAAGATGCTCCTCATGGCTCTGGATGTTATAAAGGCACCAAGCCTTGTTGGTAGCGGGTGCTCTCACATCCTTTGGCCTACATTTTGCAACCTCATGGAAAATGGGAGATCAGGATTGGAGGGTGGCATCAAGTGGTTCCAATCTTCAAAATGGTAGCAGAGGGAATATGGGGAATTACAGGCCAGTTAGCCTTATGCCCATTCTTGGAAAAACAATGGAAAGCCTCATAATAGGGAAAGCTTCAGAAACCCTAAATAGGTTGGGAGGTTGGCAGTGACGCAGCAGATTCCATAAAAACAGATCCTGCCAGATGAACTTTGTGGAATTCTTTGGTAAGGTCTTGAGGTGACTTGATTGAAGGGACATGGTAGATGTGGTTTACCTGGATCTCAGCAAGGCCTTTGACAAAGTGCTGCATGATATCCTGGTCACAAAATTATTGTGCTTTGGTATAGGTTGATGCAATGTCCAATGGATTACGGCATGGTTCATGGACCACAAGTAGAGAGTGACTATCAGTGCGGAATCATCAGGATGGTAGCTGATAACAAGCAGAGTTCTCCAGGGCTCAATTCTGGGACCAATTCTGTTCAACCTTTTTTATCAATGACATGGTGGAGAGGATAACCAGTCTGCTGACTAAATGCGTGGATGATACCAAAATGGAGGCAGTGGCCACAACTGAGGAGCAAGTGATCCAGATGTATCTGGACAGAGTATGGAAGTGGGTGGTGGACAACAGGATGACATTCAGTATGGATAAGTGCAAGATCTTGCACTTGGGACACAGGAATCGGGTGACCCAGGTACAGGATGCAGGACAAGTGGCTGGAGGGCAGCACTTGTGAAAGGGATCTCAGGGTACTTGTCAAGAGCAGGCTGAACATGAGCCAGCAGTGTGACGCGGTAGTTAAGAAGGCAAATGCCAGCCTTGTATAGCCAGAAGTATGACTTCCAGATCTAGGGAGGTGTTGATACCACTCCACATGACCACAACTGTTGCATGCCCACAAGTAGAGTACTGAGTCCAGTTCTGGGCTTCACATTATAGGAGACAAAACTAGGTTAGAATTGGTTCAGCACAGGGACACTAGAAAGGTAGACGGGTTAGAAGGGACGACCTATGAAGAGAGATTCAGGAAACTCGGGTCTGTTCAGCCTGGAGAATAGGAGACTCTGAGGGGATCTTTTAGCGACTTATAGGTACATATGGGGATGTCATGTGGAGAAGTTCTTCCCTGCAGTGGGGGGTGCAGGACGTGTTCCAATGGAGAAAAGCTCAAGGAACCTGTCTTCAGGTCAGATGTCAGGAAGTACTTCCTGACAGTTAGGACCCTAGAATATGGAACGGGCTTCTAAGGGAAGTGATTGAGGCCCCATTAGTGAGGGCATTCAAGAAAAGATTGGACAACCACATGTTGGAGATTACATGAGCGAACCCGGCTGGAGCTGGGGGTCAGGCTAGATGGCCCAGGACACTCCTTCTGACTTGCTTTTTTAGCATGCTTGTGCCAGTTGCAAGGGACATGGGGTGAGGGCTCAGTCTTCCAAGTTCCAGATCCAGGATCACAAAATCTTGGAGTGAGGACCCAAACAATGTCGTAACTGAAGTATTATGGACAGTCTTCCTTGCCATGATCACCAAAGGTGTCACATGTAGTAAATTAGAAGAATTCCATCCACCATGAGGCACCTTGCTTGTAGCATTCCAGCAGTAGCAAAGCATAAACCATCACTTAACATCTAAGAACAAGTAGTACCTGCTGTCAGACTGCTGGTTTGCAGGTAAGGCCAGCCCTTTAGTTTAAAAACAGGAAGGTTGTTATACACAGGTGGGCACACGCAGCACACTCACTACTTGCACTTTTGCTACACAACACATGAAAGAAGCACATGATTTGTTGGTGGATTATAATCCTTTTGAGTTTTATGTGGGAATCTATCTTCTCAAGCCAAGATAAGTTATTTTCCATTAAATTAGTAAAAATAAACACTTTCCAATAGAAGTTCTTTATTCTATTTTATAAATATGAGTTTCATGTTACATTTTGCAAGGCAACTAAAGACCACATGTTTCTATCTGCAAGAAGCTAGATATGCAGCAAACCATTGTTAAATTAAGGTTTGAGTCTCTATATTTTATACTACAGATGCATTTTCTTTAACAAGAAACCAAGCCAGAAAAAACTACTTTCAAGTACAAGAGTCAAGGCTTCCTGATTTAATACCTATAATACTTCATCTAAAAAGAGTTGCAAAAATTAAAACCAAGAAATGATTTATTGGACTTTTTAGATTCAATATTTAAAAGTGTGTTCATAGCAAGAATCGTTAGTCTACATTTCAGTCAACCAATTCTTCGTCTAGAAGCTTAGAGAGATTCATTCTGGTTTTTGCAAGTGCTGCTGTTTTCGCTTGGCGAGATGGCCTTGAACTTGCTAGTGAAACAGGCGGGTGAACTTCTTCACTGCTAAAGAAAGATATTTTCAATGACATAAATCCAATTAGCAGGTTTAGTTGGTACAGTACTAGAAGGAATTCCTGATGTTTGGCTAATTAAAGGTCAGTGTGTGAATCCAGCCCACTTTACCTCTACAAGTCCTGGTCATGAGCATTGTTCCTCACCGCCCATTTTCCTTTGCAACCCTCTTCCACCGCTGCCCCTTCCGCTGCTGCTTGCCCCAGTCAAACTCGGAGCAGGTCAAGCACTAGCAGCCAACATTCTTCTCTCTGCTCACCTCTTCCACTGCACATTGCAATACATTTTGTAGACAGGCAGGTTGCTTAGCTGTAACTGTTGTCCTTTGAGTGGTCATCTACGCACTCACGCGCATGGGTGCTGCGCCTGCACACTGTCTGTATTCAGGAAGATTCTCTCAGCTAGTAACATTTTTGGCAGGGACCCCCTCGTATAAATGGCCAGTCCAGCTGGAGAATGCCCATTTGCCCCTACTGGTACCGACACAATAGAACATAATACATGATAGACATGACAGAAACAGATTGTATTGCATAAACTCATTCACCAACACTGATGCGGGGCCAGCGGGTGGGTACTGTGAATGCACAGATGACCACTCAAAGAACAACAGTTACAGCTAAGCAACCTGCCTTTCTTTGTCGTGGTCTCTGTGCATAACACATATGGGTGATTAGCAAGCTTACCGAACTCAGAGGAAGGACAGTGTCGTTATTGAAGGACAGTCGAAAGGATGGCACAGCCAAAAGAGCAGTTCATTTTAGCCTTTACATCAAGATGGTAATGTCTGATAAAGGTGCATGGGGTGGACCGTGTGGCAGCTTTGCATAAATCTTGTACAGGTACACCTGCATGTGAGGCTGATGAGGTGGCCACATCTGGTTGAACGGCCTCTTGGGAGGATTGGCAAGTCCAATTTAGTGAGTTGGTATGAAAGCTTTATGGTTTTGGCTGCCCATTTTGACAAGAACTGGGGTCCTATCGGTGTTCCCTTGTCGTGTTCAGAGTACTTGATAAACGGTTCTCTGGAAGGATTTGGTTCAAGATCGGTAAAAGGCAAGTGATCTGTGGACATCAAGACTCTGGAGTGATAGTTCAATCAGTGTTGACAACGCTGGGAAATATGCTGGTAACACGCTATCTTGATTAAGATGGAATGTTGTCGCCACATTTGGGAGGAAGGTTGGGTCGATACAGAGGACCACTGTTTCCTTATGGAAATTCAAATATGGGGGTGGGGGGGGTCCAACCCAAAGGGTGCATAGTTCACTCTGTTGGTCAGGGAGGAATGCAGCAAATGATTCCATCTTCTGCCATAGGAAGTATTTATAACGGGTCATAGTGACCTTGTAATTGGAGATTCTGAGTCCAAGTCCCATGGTTGAGTAGATTAGGAGAGACACCATATCAATCTTACATCCTTCATGATCATCTGGTGCAGTGTGCTCTCTCTTTTGCTGACCTTGCACAAACTCAATGACACCAAGTTTGGATGGGGGTGTCAAAGCATAAATGAAATGTCTTGCTCCCTGACCTTATACATCGACTCCAGCTGCGGAGAAGTTGGATGTGGGTGGTTGGGTAGCTCCCATGGTTCCACCATGATACCATGGCCTGAAGTTGAGTGGAGATCAGTGGCAGGGCCACCAGAACCGTGTCCTGATAACATCATAGATATTATCCTGTCCTGGATCCATATGCTGTTAGATGTTGATCCCTAAGGAGGTTGACATACGAACCAGTAGTTTAGAGAAGCGTCCCATACTCTCTCCGGGTGATCCTGGGCCTTGAGTCGAAACCAAAAGGTTGGGTGAGGTAGATGCATGCTCTGTGCCTTCTGAATCTGATTCAGAGAGGTAAGTTGCACTCAAGGATGAGGAATGTGCTGGTGATCCTTCCTCCATCAGTTGAGCTGTGGCAGTTGTTTCTTCTTCAGACGTGGACGGTATGTCTGTGGGTTGTTGTGGTCTGTGATGTGCAGAAGGTGGTGAGTAAGGGTATCTGTAGGGTGGGAGGTATTCCCATGGATATCCATGTCCATAGCCTTCATATGGAGGAGGCATCCAGTATTGGGTCCTTCCATACCGAGGGTACCCACGTTTGAACGGAGGTGGTCTTTGGACTGAACCCGGTGAGGTTTCTGGTGATGGATGCCCGTTCAGAGTCGGAGTAGAAGGATGTATTGGCTCCTGGTGCTCTTGAACTGTGTATACCAATCACTCATATGGTAACAGAGAATGTATGGGAGACTCCCGAATCTCTCCCTCCAAAATGGAAGTTCTAATTATCGGTTCTGGTGCTTGAGTCTCAGGTGGGCTGAAGCGAGACCATGAAGAGGGTCTTGGCAATGGTTCAGCATGCAATAAAGAGATGGTCTTGGTGTCATCCATATTGAAGGAAGACAGAACAAAGGGTCACTCAGTACCGATGCGCCCTGTCCATTTCAGATTGGTATGGAACTTCCTTCTGTGCCAAATAAGAATATTTCATTTTCTTGTCCAGCTTCTACTTTCTTTAGCAGTCCCTTCACTCTTAAGGTGTTTCCTTTTCTCCTTGTGCTTTTTAGGAGATTGAGACAGTCCTCAGCGCTCTTTAGCAGACTCAGCACTCTCACCGTGTTTGGCATGTGGAGGTGTGCTTCCTTCGGCCGCTGAAGGGCTGGCAGACTGGGCCCCGGTAGCCTCTCTTGTTGTGATCAAGGCTCTATCCCAGAGCTCCTTCTGGAGGCGGTTTTCGCAGTTCTTGCAAGCCTGTTTAGTGAAGGGTTGACAATGGACGCATTTGTCCACGTGATGCCCTTCACCCAGACAAAGCAGGCAGAGAGAAAGCGTGTCCATAGACGGCATTTTCGCTTCATGCTGGACACACCTTCTAAAAGAACACTGTGCCATCAAGAGAGAATAGGAAAGTATAGGGTAGAAAGAGAAAGACAATAGATGTTTTTTTAAAATATTTTTTGGGGGAGGAAATATGTAAGGTGAAGAGGGAAAGTGTTTGTAAAGGAGGGTTTTGAGGTTGTGGAAGAGAGGATTTAAAAGGTTTAAAGTTTTAAAGATTAGGTAGAGACATTTGTGAGGGAAATCAAAAGTAATGAGAGAACCTGAGGCACAGTGAATGGAAGTCGAAAGCAGACTGGTGATTGGGTGGAAACTCTGCCCATTTATATGGGGGGCTGGGGGAGCGACGATCCTGCCAAAAATGTTAACAGATGAGAGAATCTTCCCGAATACAGGCACTGCACAGGCGCAGCGCCCATAATGTGATGCGCAGAGATCACGGTGGAGAACTAAAGTACTTTCACAAGGTAAGAGTTCTTAGAAAGCAAACATTCACTAAATGTCTGTTATAAAGAAAATGAGCAAGCAATGTCCAATTTATATATTTACCTTAAAGCCATTAGGAATCCTTTCAAATGCAAGTGCTAGAAAAAGAGCATGAGCACACGGGTGTGCACTTCATTGGTCCCAGAGTCTCGTTTGATTAAAGAACTCTTAGCAGGTCAATCGATTTTATCCAATTTCACACACATGCAGCAGTGGCAGCCAAAAGAACGCAAATTAAAGGGAAAGCGGGCATAAGCACCACTAGGTGTGATGCAGGGAAGCTGTGTGGCCCTCCTTTCACTAAAGCAGCAGCCTAAACAGCTGGATCACAGTGGCTCCAACACAGGGATGTCTGGCTTTCTTCTCCATGCCTTCTTCCAAACTGGCTAGATAAAGCATCCCTTTTCCCCACCTGTCTTTTTGCACTTCATTGCTACTTCCCTGGGCTCCTCACAAAGGAAAATAGGCAGGATATAAATGAAATAATACTTTCTGCAGCAAAGGGAATGGGCAGGAGCTCCCAGGTCACCATACTTTTAATGCCCAGTTAACTGGAAGCATTACTTTTATTATCTTAGAATGTTCAAATAAATTGAACGCTGCTGCCACACTGTATGTATGCACGCAAGTAAAAAACCAAATCACTTCAGGACTACCGAGTTAAATGTCTGCCTTCCGGGCGGAAGGGGAACTTGACACGGGAAGGAGGGGAATAGAGTGGTATTTATCCAACTACAACAGTTGCGGCAGAGCCATTCCTTGTTCATGCACGCACGACGTACCTTTCAGGTTCTGCTATTCTACGATTTCCTCTTCTGGGCAAAGACTTTGCTTCAGTTTTCTTCACACCTAGAAGTGAAACAGATCATTTTCCCCTCCCTTCAAGCCTGTTCTAAAATTATACTATCCCTTCTCCTGCCTACTTTGTTACTGGCCCACCCACACCAGCCTTTTCCGTTCCCTGTGTGTCCACCCGATGCCACCATGCAAAGCTTGGCTGGGTGCCTCTGGAGAGGGCCCCTCCCCTGCCAGCCAGAGAATACCAGCAAGGACAAATATGTCTCTGCGCCTGCGTTGACCCATGGACTTGGGGCCAAGCTTTACAGGTTTCCAGAGGACGCAGAAATGTCACACGGCCAACGTTTTCATCCATTAGAGCAGAGGAGGGCAACCTGTGTAGGACGCTGTGTTTTAGATTTATTTTATCTATATTTTGTATTGTTAAAACATCCTGAGACTTCAGTAATGGGATGGCCTTCAAAAGTTTTAAATAAACAAACAAAGAAAGATAGAAAGAAACTACTCTGGATTAGGGACATGGTACCTCCCCCTAGAACAAGCCACTACTTGGCCCCCCTCCCACTCCTCCCATGACATCATTCACCCACCATTTTACCCATTTTTTAAAGTTTATATCTCTAAACATGGAGAGGCATGAAATCTGTACCTCTCTCCCTTGGCCAGTTCTTTCAGGAGCCGGCTCCTGCAAGGCCCAGCAGAGTTTCTCTTTCCACTGCTAGCAGGCCCTGATCAGAGTACACTGAAGGCGTGAAAGTATGTTTACTACCTTTTGTGGCTTTGCTTCTTGGAGGTACTGACTCTGCAGATGTGTTCTCTCTCTGCTCAGCAGGTTGGCTGGTTTTACTTTCTGTTTAATACAACAAACAGCAACAACAAAACTTGTAACAAAGATTTGTACCAACGCATTTACTAAGGTGTAAGTCAAACTCATCAATAGGAAAAAACAAAAACATTTGTCTAGTGAGATTTTACATTTGCTTACTATGTTCTGTGACTGAACTAAAAAGAAGCCCCACAATGATTTATTTCTTGATTCAGAAGAAAAATTGGCAAGCATCTCTGAACCACGCTACATTTTTTCTTCATGGATGTGCAGGAAAAGGGGCATTGTCATGTTCTAAGCCAGCATCCTCGGAACGGATGTCTGCCAAGGTTTGGACACTGCAGGACAGCCAGATATTGGAAATTATATCCATACCAGTTCCATCTCATGCCCCTGACATACAATCATTTCTAGAACTCTAGAGGCCATTGTTGCATTGCTCAGTTCTATTGATTCGATTCAAAGCTGAGAGAGCAGCATGAACAATGTGAAGAGCAAGCAAAGCAGCCCTTTATATTTTTAAGAGGAAGTCTAAGTGCAACACTAGACTCTCTCAAGTGAGTTTAAGAACAAAATGCAGCAAGCCTGAAAAGAGCCTCAGAGGGAGTCCCTGGGCGAGTCTCTAATTACCGTCCACATCGTGATCAGCGGGACTGTATGTTCTGTCACCACTGTGCGGCGTGCTGGGATCCCTGGCGTTCTGACATCCTTCGGAAAGGTCCGTCTCCATGGTTAGTTTAGAGATTTCTCCATTGATTTGGTTTCCCCCATTTAAGTTTTTCTTCACTTTTTCAACCATCCGTAAGCACATTTTATCTTTCACAGTCTGCAGTAGTAACACGGGGTATAGTTTAAGGAGTGGAAATCAATTATAATACACCCATCATATGCATTTTTTCATCTTAAGACATGTGTGGCACTTCTAGTTAAGCTCAAATTTAAGAAACATTTAAGTTTAAGGAAAGCTTAAGACAAGGAACCCTAAGTATTTTTAATGAATAGAACACAGTGGTGAAGAATTCAATCAAAGCATGGTACATATACAGTAAATGTTATCTGAATGGTCATCTTGTGTTTTTAAAGCCCCTCACTCTACAGACTTCTTCAAACCAATAAGCTAAAAGGAAGTAAGAACACTGCCCTTATCTGAATAAGTCCCCCGTTTATATACAGAGGATAGAAGAGGGTCTTCCCAGTTAGGCTCCTTCTCATACTTGCTCCAATAGATGGGTTTGATGCCACTCATACATGTATGTACTTTCCTGTATGAAAGGACCACTCCAGTTTCTGGGTGTAACATATCATCCCAAATACTAGTTTGCCTAAGCCCTGAGTACTGAAGAAATGACCGACAGGAGAACCAGCCCATTTGGCGAGACCCTCCTCCACAAAGGAGACTGGCCATGGATGCTGTGTGTCCCTTCAGGGGCCCCTGTGAGGCACTGAAAATGGGAGAGTATACTGAGGAGTGGGTGAGGAGAAGGGACAGGGCACTGACTCAGGCCTGGGCACTGCTTTCCAATCGCCCAGCCTCTGACTTCCAGCAAAAGTAACACAGGATCCACCCCCTCCAGCGCCAGCTTCGCCTTTCTGAGTGCCTTCGGGCGAGAAGCCCCCAAGAGGCCCTTCCCTTCATAAGGCTACCTGTTCACTGCCATTGTCACCAGTTGTTACTGCTCTTTGCTCATCACGGCTACCGTTTGCTTGCTTGCCAGTCAGAGCACCCATGGGCAAATGGGAGGAGGCAACCACTGCTCCTCTGTTGCACCACCCCCATTTTCTGCGGCAGGAGCAGAGGCAGCAGCTTGCAAGGGCACAAAGGAGAAGAGACTCCAAGGGGCTCTTGCCAGTGGGCATCTGCTGGACAGCAAGTGCTCAGGAGGTGGCCACCTATGCCTGTGATCCCAAGGGCCAATTAACTAGCAAACAGGCCCCCAGTCATACTTCTGGAGTCCTTGCAAAAGTTTTTGCATCAGATAATTTCTCAAGCAGGCATTCCCAGACTAGCACAGGCAGGCCACACCACATTCCCCCCTCTTTCCATGGCTCATTCTTGCTCAATTCTGTAGAACTTCCAGCTGCCAACCACCCTTAAAGTGTCATGATTTGAGATCTGTATACATCCCCACTCCATGGAACAGTAGTTTTAACATTTTTCCCCCCTGCCTTCCAAACAAACTAGCAGGATGAGGTGGTCTCCCTTAATCTCCTGCATTCTTCCCTCCAGACCCAGGTAGGAGACTTGTCATATTCCTCAGATTTTGGTTTATGGCTTCCATTAGGTCTCACAAGTAATTATGCTGGCTAATGCTGAGGATAGTCATATGCCACAAATTGCCCATATTCACTCTAGGTTTCTGCATAAAAAATGATTTGTGAAGGAAGGATGCAATGATACAGACTTCCAAGCAATCATTTTAGAATTCAAATATGTATGTGGAAAATGGATCTTTGTCAAGCCACTAAGGTCTTCTTTTCTCACCTTCTTGAATACTAGTGAAATTTTACTGAGACATGCCACAGACTAACAATTAAACATTTGAGCTTAATTTCTATCATTACACATTATTTCATTCACAGGAAGTACAAAGATAATTAAATGCATAAAGTAGGCTATTACCTACCTCAAGGATTTCATCAAGCAAAGCTAGCAGGTCTTTTGAACAGTCTTTATTGAGTTCTAAACAACTCAAAGCTTTCACATAGATACGGACATCCAGTGCACTTGGATCCATCAAGATTTGATTGCATATTTTCATCGCTAAATTGTCATGGACTGTCAAGCCCTGGAAAAGTCACTACAATGTTGTAATGTCTGGCTGCACATCTTTTAAGGATAAGCTAAACTTGTTATCCTTCTGAAATTTCTAAGGTTACTCTACTATAGCCTGTCTTCAGTATATGACCCTTCACAATAATTGCCAATAAAGTAAGTTTTGATTGTGCAACTTTTAAAGCAAGAATGCAACTTGAAAACATGCTGGCAGTTTTACAATACTACTCAAGTCAGGCAACTTGTGGCCTCAAATGATGACCCAGTGACTCCCTTTCCAAGTGCTCCAATCCAATGGAATATCCTCTTGTTCTAGAGCAGTTACCTTCAAATTGCACTGGGAAATTGCAAGGCAAAACTGGTTACCCAGCACTAGAACGGTGGGAACGTCCTGCACTGGAAGACCTCAAAGAACGTAGCAAGTGACTCATGCACAGGCCTTGTAAGGCCTGCAGTGTTCCTGATGCTCTCAAGCGCACCAGCACTGACTCTGAGCCTGCTCCCAGAGCAAGTGTCCTTGTGTGTGAGCAAGAGCAAGTGTCCTTGCAGGACTATTGAGTCTCTACTCCAAGGGTGCAGACCCTCAGGCTCAGGGGCCCAATCCAGCTGTGCACGGTTTCCCCAGCTGGCCCCATCTCCACAGAGTCATTGGTCATTGGATAGTTTCACAACCTCTGTGCAGCCTTTCCTAAGGCTTATCTGCTAGTAGTAAGAGCTAGAGGCGACAGTATTCTGGTACTTGAACCCCAAACCTGGCACCCACAGCCCTGCCCAATGCTGCAGGGCAGCCCCAGAAGGCTTCTCCAAAATAGAAGGCAGCTTTCAGGCTGAGAAAGGTTCTGCTCTACTTAATGAGAATTAGTGCAGGCTAATGTGAGAACAATGGCACAGAGCTCCACAGGATCCAGTTAATTTCCTCTCTGCCTCTCTGATGTGGACTAGCTTGTTCTTCCACTTTATAATGCCAGACCTGAGTACCACACTGTTCCAAGATTTATCAGGCAGAATTTAACAATGCAAAAGGAATATGTAGCATTTACCTGGATCAAGAGGCCTTGCTCAATCTCAAATCAAACAAAATAGCATCCCTGGATAAATCCTGGCATACCTGGGAATTCTTGGCACATTGATTCAGTCCACTAGGTCTTGTCAAGTCCACAAAAAGTTCAGCAACATTACTTATATCAACTTCAGACAATGGGGATGAAGCAGGAGCATTAAAGATTATTTGCAAAGTTGGAAGAAAAGCTTCTTCAAAGCACTCCTGATTTGCCCTGAATTTGTAAAACGTGAGAAAGGAAAAGTTAATACTACAATGCATTAAAAGCTTCCCAAAATTGGATATTTTTAACTCAATGTCCTTTGAAACTTGATACCCTGTTAAGGTCATACTACAGAAGAACTTGCTTAAGCAAGGCAAGTTGGAAAAATTTTAAGTTCTTGCCTTCACTTGCCTCTGAAAAAGCTTCAAGTAGGGTACGTGGATGTAGAGCCAGAACTCCTGCAAGTTAATTCTACCAGAAATGTGGGACTAGACAAATAGACACCTGGCTTGAAACTGTCCAGTGTACACATATACTTGCCTTCCAGTTGTCCAAAACATACTGAGATTACTGTGAAAAAACCCAATGTTTCAAAGCATGCCCATGCTCCCCTGGAACTACTTGACTCAATAGCTAATGAAAATCATGTGCTCAAAACAAGGGAGGAAACATTTTTATTTATTTATTTATTTTTCAATTTATATCCTGCCTTTTTCCTCAAAGGACTCAAGGCAGCTTACATCATTCTCCTCCTCCATCTTATCCCCACAACAACAACCCTGTGAGGTAGGTTGGGCTGAGAGTCTGTGACTGGCCCAAAGGCACCCAGTTGGCTCCATGGCCGAGCGGGGACTAGAACCCAGATCGCCTGAGTCCCAGTCCCAGCTCTTAACCACTACACCACACTGGCTCTCTATCATCTAATTAGAAACATCTAATTTCCCCAAATATATTATTTATCCTATGATCACACCATCCAGCACACTGTCTCCTTCCATTTCTCCTAACTTCAGCCTTGGCCGTCACAGTAAATATGATCAAGCAATACAAACTTAGAGAAGGAAAAGGGTTTGTGAATGAACAAAACACTGTTTTTGTTGTTATTTCATGGAAGGGGACTATTTGCATATCCAGATCTTCTAAAATACATTCAGGAAAGCTTCTTTCCTTTTGCTTTGTAAATACTACACATTAATAGAGGATTAGATAATCTTCTACTCAGGGGTCCAACACAGGGGGAAATACAACTTTGTAAAATAAAGCTCATCATGATCAAAACCCTTCTTCACATCCAGGCTTCCAGGGACTTAAAAAATACCAAAATGAAGGAATGCATCTCGAATTCAGATGTGGGAATAAATAAATGCAATGTACTGCAAAATGGAATGGATGCAGAAGCTCACTGGATTGAGGAGAATTATGACACATAATGCAGGGTGGACTTTCCCTCAAACTGAAGCAAGCTGCTCATATACCATGCCAGGTACACACTTTGGGAGAACAAAAGATCCAAGAGTGAACTATATACACTTACCACGAAGTAAGTCCCATTCAACTCAGCAAGACCTATCTCTAAGTAGGGACAAAGAGGATTGCAAGCAAGAAAATGGACAGTATTTTTCTGCTGTTCAATTATGTTCAATTCAGAGCATCTGAAATGTTAAGGAATGAAAGGCAAGATAACACAAAAATACCCATACCTATTTGAGTAGGCAAATAAAGGGAAGAAAACTCCCAGTGAGTGTCGGAGTCGAGTATCGTCTTCAGTTAGTGGATTATACCACAACAAAACAAGTCGAGAAAGAAGTTTAGCACTTATCAGTCGTCCAGAGAATATGAGCTTGGCAAGGCCCTCAGCAGATTCAGTTCTGAGTTCTGAAACCTGAAGAAGAGTGCTTTGGTTTGAACTGCATGCACTGATTTAGATGAGCAGGTGAGGGAAAACACTCCATGTATCCATCCTATTTGAATATCATTGTGAAAGATCAGTGCAGTGGCACTTAAAAGCTCCCAGTCCTATAAGAGTTGACATTACTTAAGCCATAGATCTATCAAAGACTATAAAAATGTAATAGCCTGAATCCAGACTTAATCCTACCTAGGATCCTATGTCTGGGTCCTGCACAATATCATGGGATTATGTCTCCCTAGTAAACATTCCACAGCCAATGTTGAGAGGGATGCCCCCCTTTAATTGTGCAAGATGGCCCTTAGTTACATTCCTTCACATCACCTCTGAGGGGGTGCTAGGAAGGTCAACTTCCAGGGGGAAGATCTCTCTTCTTCCCTCCTCTGGCTTCCACCCACTGCAATAATTGGTTTAAAGCAAAAGGGTTCTGCTGGTGATGTTTGCAGATGGATCCTTCTCTTCAAGTAGTGAATGTGTAGAGCAAGAGGAAGGCTTTGACCTCACTAACACCCACCAATCCTAATCAAGACTACCTTTTCCTCTGCTGCTATCAAAAGTGAGGAAATGGCCATTTTAACTGAGATCGTTGGCAAAGGGTGAGAAGCGTTGAGATCACTCCATTCCCATAGTCCTGATGCAGAAAGTTGATCAATATTACTAGGGTGGCAGTTAAAGTGGGGAGGGAAAATGTATATCATCATGTCCATTTCTTTACTGCCCCATAGCCAAAGTTCTCTGGAAAGTTTATAACTGCATAAGAATGTCTATTTTGAACTTTTCCCCAATGCTCTCCACACTAAGAATCTCTCTCCTCTTAAGGGTCCGTCCTTCCTCCCATTTCTGCACAACTTAGGCCTTCTTGCATTTCCACATTCTAGCTATTGAACTGCCACCTCCTCTCAAGTGCCTCGCCACAGCCTCCTTCCGGTCGATCTGGGAAGACTGAGGCCTTGAACTTGCACAGACCCCCAAGCAAACCAGAGCCTGTACTATCTCATGTTCACCCCACCAATTATTGCCCACATGTACCCATCTTACACCCAACCATTTACCCAGATAAACCTCTTTTCCCCTCTGCCCCGACGCTCCATACATCCGTTTTCCTATCATAATCATCCACCAAGCAATAACCTTTCCTTCTCCTGCCCCACACATCCTTCCTTTGCCTGCCTTCTTCCCTGCCCCTAGTTCCCTCACATCCCCAATCCCTCCTGTCCCACGCCTTCCTTTCCTCACATCCCCCACACCCCCTCCTGCCCCAGGTCCCTTTCTCTCCATACCCCATACATCCCTCTTGACCCATCCTGCCTCCAGTCCTTTTCCTCAACACCCCATATCCCTTCTCTCTCACCCCACCCCCTTCTGCCTTCACACTTCAGCTCCCCTTGCCCCAACCCTATATTCCCCTGCCCTATATTCCCAGTCCTATTCTATGCCCCCACCCCAATGTGTTCCCAACCCATCCTCCTTCCCTGGGGCCCCTCAACCCTCCCCTCAGACCCACAATCTCCAAAGCCACACATGCATGAGTGAGTGTCTGTGTGTGGGAGAGACGGAGAGGGGCTAGTGTACATGTGTACTTCCCAGAACCATCCACTCCTACCCCACACTCCACCACTCATGAACTCCCCAGGGCATTCTGTGGGGACAGGTGCAGCCCTTGAATCCAAGAAAAAGGTTGCCCTGATCAAGAGGAAGCTAGCTAGCAAAATGAGGAGGAACATTTATGTTGCTGCAACATCAGATTTTTCAATGTGTAGTTCAGCTGAAATCAGTAAAGCACAAAGTCTGAGTATATACACTTGTCAGTGTTCCTTTTCATAATCATTTACTGTCCCTAGTGCTAAATGTTCATAACAATATTATGCCGAAACTTCACCCAGATTGATCTTTGCAACTTGTAGCCAAACTCTGCATCAATACTGAAAGAATTTACTGCCTTACCTCACTGTCCAAGAACCCAGAAAGAAGCTGAAGGAGATTGTGAACAGTAGCAGTTTCTTCTTCAGTTTCCCTAGTCTCCTCCTGTTCATTCTCTCCATTTTCACTTTGGGAATCTTTTTCTTTGTTTGTTTTGAAAGGCTCTATTCCAAACATCAATAGCTGGTCAAAGACAGCCTTTAAAGCACTTAATTTTACCTTCATTTCATCAATTTGCAAGGCCTGGGCAGGATAAGAAAGACAGGCAGGATGTATCAATTCATAAAATCAGTATTAAACTATACACCAGCCAGAGTTCAGTCTTTTTTAAAGTAGTTCCAACTTGTGGTATATTCCTGAGCTTTGCAAAGTGTTTTGCACCCTGCCTTTTTCCAGAACAGAAACCAAAATCAGAAATGTAAATAGATTTAAAGGGCCTCTCTATTTAAGGCATCATTTCACTGGTTCGCTTGGCACCTTGCCTCCAAATACCAATAATCCAAATCAGAAAAAGCTTAACAGGAAGAAAGGCGAAGCTAAACATTACAAAAGTTAGTCCAATAACTAATGTGCTGGACAAGGGAGGATCCCTGAGAGAAAGCTTCCTGTCTGCCACCCACAACCCCACCCAAGGAGCCATCCATTGCATGGCCACAATCAACCTTCTCTGTGCCCAAGCAGAAAAGACGTATAACAACAAGCTGATGAGTGGGAAGATACAGTCCTTCACACCTCAGGACACCAGCTGTTGTGAAGACATATACATTTACAGTTTAAAAAGTGAACTGACATTGAATTACGTTGTCGCATGAGGTTCCCTAAAAGTGGCAGATCCCTGCCCACAACGCCTTCCATTGAAAGCAGTACAAGCCCTTCAACCCCACCGCTTACATGAATCATAAAGCTTATTAACTGAAAAGTGACAGCATCAGCAGGGCGCAATTCAGCAGTCTTTACCTGTAGCAGCAATGCAAGGTGCTTTCTGGCAAAGTCTTTGCTTTGCAGACCACAACAGCCCAGACATAAAACTGCCATATTTCTTACAGCTGGATGGATATTAGTAATTCCTGGAATGATCTAAAACACAAACAAATGCACATTGCTGATCAGGAAGAACAAAAGGGACGGAACAATCCTACAGTCCTTAGACCTTAGGGGCGGGCTTAGAGCTCCCTCCTCCCCCCCCCGAACACCCGCCGCACTCCGCAGCTCCGTGGCCGAACACCTGCCGCGCCGCGCTGCCGCCACCGCCGCCGGACCTGAGGGCACCACCGGGCCGGGGGCCAGTTGACGCCGCTCCCGCGGCCACCACTGGGCCACCCCGGACACGGAGGACGCCGGGGCCACACCAGGCCCACCGTCAACGGCACAGAGGAGGGCGCCGCCATCTTAACGCTGGGTGGGTTTCAGATACTTCAATTGGTTCAGAACAGAGCTGCCAGGCTGTTGACGGGGACTGGGCGTTATGCTCACATGACTCCAGTCCTCTGTCAGCTTCACTGACTTCCCACTGAAGTCTGGGCCCAATTCAAGGTGTTGGTGATCACTTATAAAGCCCTGAACGGCTTGGGTCCTGGCTACCTGAAGGAGCGCTTACGTCCATATATGCCCGCCCGCCCCCTGAGATCAGCAGGAGAGGCCCTTCTCCGGGAACCTTCCATGAAGGAAATTAGGAGGATAGGTACTCGGAGGAGGGCTTTCTCTGCGGTGGCGCCCAATCTATGGAATGCACTCCCCAGAGAGGTCCGCCTGGCGCCGAAAAACAAATAATGACGGCGCCAGGCGGACCTC